TTCATTGCACTTATTTTCAGCAATTGGTCTTGAGTTTGTGCGTCAATATTACACATTCTATCCAAGTCTCCCGGATGCGTGCATAAGTTCTACAGCCATGAATCGGTATTCGTGCACAATGACGTAACCGTGATAGGACAGCAGGTAATAGATCGTCATTATTCTAGTAACTTTTCTTGGGGAGGCGGATTATTTTCCTTTTCGTTGGAACTTCATATTGCTCAGCCCTCTGATGATAGGTACGGTTTGCCATTGTAATGGACCATTCTGTATTCTCAGAGCTTTTCTTTGGGAATGTGACATGAGCACGTTGATTATTTTTTTCGTGCTTTATACGCAGCTAGCAGTTTCTTTAGTGATATTCCTATTATACTCTCCTTTATTCTTAACTTATCCCAAACTTGCTGTGTTTGCAGAAGATCAAAAATTGCATCGAACAGCTGGTGGAGGCAAACAATAGATTCAAGATCCATTCTGTGAAGGTAATCTTAAAACTGTATATTGCTTTGTAGAGAAGATCGTTGAAATTTCAATTGAGGCTAATCTTTTTTGGCTATATGGATTGAACTCTCGGCAAACTGCTGAGTCTCTGGACTTTGTCTTAGGCTGCAATCAATGCATGGTTTATTGCTGATAGCATAGAAAACTGTTAAGTCTAAATCCGCAAGTCTTCGATGGCACCTTTAGGAGCAGTGGTCTTGGTGGTGTGTTATTACGTTCTTTATGTTCTTTCTTTTTTCTATTGTTCACTTCTGTTATAGCGCGATGTCCATGTTCAACTGGTGACTACACTCTGTTTGAATGAGATTTTCTTCATATTCTCCTCTCTATGTTTTATCACAGGCGATATGCTATACGAAGTTATTACGAATCGTCCTGCAAGTTTGTGGCGAAGTCGCCACTCGTCGCTTCTTCCAAACGTTCATCTTGGGACAGCAAAGCGCGAAGAAATTCTATGTGCAGAACGATATCTTCCAATTCCTAGATGTGGCATTCCATAGTGAATCGCAGGGTTCTCCAGCACCTGCAGCTCCTAACGAGGCCGCTGTCACAGAGGTTTTCAATCTTTTTAACTTTTGATAGCACTGTCATAGTTTTTGGCATGTCTCTTTATTCTTTGAAGTGATACAGCCAAGTTTTGTTGCGCCTAACTATCCTATTACAGGCACAGTCGGTTGATATCGATCTCGTACAAAATGGCCACAATCATTCTCATTCGTCGATAGCCCTTAGTTGTGAGGAAACGCCTATCCTAACAAGTGTTGTTTCTCATGCAAAGGCTAGTCCAACCAAAAACCCACCTGCACTGGCAACTGAAGGTGGGTGTTCTTTCAGTTTTGCTTCCTTTCTGCGGTATTGGAATTTTTCACTATTTTTTTAGAAACGTGCTTATTCTTCGAATTAGTTCTAAATGGTAAAGATACTCCCTTACACTGGTTCACTAATTCGCAGTTGGCCACCCTTTGGAGCGCTTATCTGTTAGTGTTAGCCCCTCAAGGAGTAATGCTTTCAAGAGCTGTGTGCAAACCATCACTGTTTCTCGGAAACCATCGTTCCGTGTGCAGCTTTGTGAAAGTTTCCATAAGTCTTAGTAGAATTCTCTCCTCTTATTTTCTCTGTAGTGCAAACTCATTTTTTGCCTGCTCTTCTTGTAATCTGATTTTGATTGATTTTGTGATTGTTGTGATTTTTCCTCTTCAACTCCTTTTTTCATATCCGATAATAGTGAAACAGCTAGTGGTTCATGGTTAATGCTCTCAAGATGGTAAAGGGGAATAGCTATTTTATCAGTTGTTGGGCAAACACGAGTAGAGTGTAGAGTGAAAAAGGATGGAAATATGTGAGAAGGGTCGAGAAATACGGGAGCAGCCGATTAAGACTCGCAGTACCTGTTACCCCTTTTGCATTTCAACTTCTGAGATTTACATTGAATCACGGTGTTTGTGGAGAGGAATGTATAGGGAAAAAGGAAGCTAGTTAAGCTTTGAAATGCAGAGGGTTTACATCAGCAAAGCATCAGCATCGTTTTCGCTGTCTTTTTGAATAATTCGTTTCGATAGAGAAGTTCACCGGTTGCAATAAGCTTTCTTACATTTTGCTGGCTTCCATTTCGCCTATTTCATGAAAATTGATCTCAGTTGTACAAAAACTCATGAGAAGGATCCATATTGAAAGCTAAACTTTACCTCAATATTGCATAATGAAAACATAGAATGAAAATGGAGTTTTTTCGCAGAGCCGCAGAAAAGTTTGTACAACTGGTAAACTTCATAAAAGTCAAAAAAATCAATGAGGCTATTGATCAAGCTTGAGGTTTATTTTCTAGCTTTCACCTTGTTTTTTTTTTGTTTGGCGCGGCGCAGCCCATACGTAACCGAAGCGATGACTAAAGTTGTTAACTTTTTTTTTCAGAAGTTAAATGGGGAAGGATCTCGCCTGTCATAACGACTAACTACCAAGTGCTAATTACCACTCTTTCCGATTCAGTCTGTCCGTTGTGGATTCTTGCTTACTCCAAGCCATTCTCTTCGGGTCGATGGTTCTCCTGTCTGGGTTCCAATTTGTGGTATGTAGAGATGACGGAAGTGAGAAAAATGGTTATAATATAATATAAGATTGAATCGTCCCTTTTACAGAAGTTGACAGGCAAGCCGTTTATTCTTTTTTTTTTTTGAAAACAGTTTTTCACATCTGTAGGGCTGCTCACGTGGACTACACATTCTGTGTTTCTCTACCGTGAACGGTTCCTGATGCCAAAAAGGTAGAAAAGTTTCGTTGAATTGGTGGCTTTTTACTGCTTTGGAGTGAACGTTCAGACTTGCACTAGAGACATCATCTTTGCATATTGAGTGAAATGTAAGATGCGTATCGAAATTAATCAAATTACTCAAAAAATGCAGTATTCGTCAGTGGTAGCAGAAGTGAACGGGATTATGTAGGATTTGTTGGACCAGCCGCAGCGACCAGGTGATCGAAGGTGTGGCTGATGACCAAGGAGAGACTGTGGCAAAAGATTTTGCATTTTCGATGTCAGCCTTCCAGATAAGCGTCAATTTTAACGATATACAATGATCCAGGACTATCAAGCGCCCGCAAGGGTTTACTATCAAAACTGCAGAATAAATCATGATAACGCCAACCGGGGCCAATGCGCCGTAATCGTAATCATGATCGAACCTCTATTTACCACTGTGGTGCAATTTCGACGAAAATCGAGGTTTTGATCACTTCAAAAGGATGACGCATTGCTCCAGGTAGTAAATCAAATGCGGTGGGGACTTAAGAAGTAGCGCTGCGCGAAATCTTTTAATACCTGATGATTTACGCGGATCCGAAGCTCGACTTCATTGCTCCAGCTATGGAAATGAAGCTCTACGAGTGGAAGAGCGAGTACCCAACATTCACGTCTTGAAGAAAAAGCATCTGTTGGCTTTGACTCATACGAGTCCTGTTTTCTATCACGGCTTGGGTGTCTCCGTTGTCGATTCTGTAGTGACATTCCTTCTTATTTGGAGAGGATCACGAAGAAACTCATTCCCCAATCGTGTGGATTCTCTATAGCACTGACCACCTGTCGCTGGCGCAATTTTTCGATCTTGCTCAACATTCTCCATGTTTTCTAAGCTCTACGTTGAGATATATCTAATGCCTGAACCACGAATAATGAAGTATTATTTCCAGATGGCTTAATTAGTGCCACTTTGGCATATTTTGACGGACTTCTAGGGCCGGTGCAGCAGCCCCAACTATGAGGGCTCAGAACCTTGGGGAACACCAACCTTGGATATACCAACCTTGGATACATCCAACCATTGGGACATATCCATCCTCGACTCTACAATCGTTTTCAATGTTTCGTCGGCAGACAAGGGCTCGCATCTCGAAGGCTCACGGACCATTAATGTTTCGTAGCACTATGGCAGTTTCGAAATACAATGGCACGGCACACATAGGAACCGTTACTATCTCTTCACTTCGTGGCTCTTACGAAATACAGCGGCAAATGGTCTTGGAGGCTGAGCGCCTCTTTCACATCGTTAACCATTTTTCTTCAATTGCCTTTCCCTCTTTTTTTGATTCTGTGGTTTCTTCTGGCTCAGTGTGGCCCCGTGAATGGTGTCAGATAGAACGCTCAGTATGGGGTGACTCTTCAGAGGAGAAAATCATGCAAGTGTAATAGCGTTCTTTCCTTCTCACGAGCTCTGCTCTCCTTTCAAGATTGCACAGAATGCATCGTGATGCCCGCTAAATAGCATGTACCCGCCAATTTCGACTCGAATTCCTTTTTTTAGCGCAACGAGCGGTGGATCCCGCGCCACGCCCTCCTCTCGCAGAGGCACATTGAGCCTTTCCTAGGCACTGTTCACACATTGCGCCACAGCCGAATGACGCTCAAAACGAACGAATCTGCGCAAATGCGAAATGAATGAAATGCGTATCGATCTACAAAATGGGAGGAGCATCGAATCGCGCAAAATCTGCGAATCCTTTTAAAAGAAATGGGTGTCTATCGACCGAGTCAATCGGAGATCGACAGCGCGAAACGGCGGTGCAAAAATCCTCCAGCAACGCTAATACAGCGTGCTCTACAATGTCGACACGCATTTAATCCTTTTCGCATCTGCTTTCGCGCGTGCGCAGATTCTTAACCCTTTCGGACCTGAATTTTTCCCCGTGGAGAAATTTTACTTCTAGCTATTGTTTTTACTTGTGCATATAGGTATCATTATGGCTAAATTTGGAAGCTATTCGATCACAATGTGCATAACAGAAAAGAAAGCTTTGAAAATTGGCCAACCTTCTTAGTTTTTAAGCTTATGTCGAAACAATTCGAAGTTTCATAGTTGTGCCGAAAAAGTATTAAATCTTGCATAATATTATAACCCATAATTTTGATTTAGGAATGGATCCACTTCAAGTATTTTAAGACAAAGTCACACTTACTTGGCCGGTTGCGGGGGTCAGCGCCCATTCACTGTTGCACTTGTACACAAATACTTGCATATACACATACATGAAATGGCCGGTTAAGCTCATAATTAGGAAGGGGAAGGTTGACTGAAGCAAACTCTAGCAGAATTAGAAAAACTATGCTGTTTCAGCGGAAATGCAAGCGTTTGAATTTGGTGGTGGCAATTGCCACCGCCAGGGCCGAAAGGGTTAATGTTGATATGTATCTGATTCTTTTCGCAAATTTGAATATTCGATAATTTTAAAACTGTGAACAGTGCTTAGAAAACAGCGAATGAACAAAGGCAAGGTAATGGCGAAAAAAGAAATGCGAATAACGAAGCGAAATAGAGGGTGAAGAAACCCGAAACTGCCTTCAATTCTCCGCGTCGCCAAGTGAGGGGACGAATCCCCCTAGTCTCGACTAGGATGATCCCCTGGCCTGTAGAGACCGAGGTCGGCGGCAGTAGACGTTAGCACGTTGCGTCAAGGACCACCGAAAAACGATGGGCTCGACGAGTAGGGGATATATCCAAGGTGGGGATCATCCCATGGTGGGACATATCCCCAAGTTGGACAATATCCCTCACCTTCCCCAGACCGAGAATATTCCCAACCTTGGAATATACCAACTTGGAATATCCAAGGTTGACCTATCCTCTTTCCCACGAGGGATATATCCCAAGGTTGGGGATGATCCCTCAACCTTGGGGATATCCCCAAGGTTGGGGATCCATCCCCTCGTTGGGGAAGGGGAGGGATCCCCAAGGTTGGGGATCCCTCCCCTCGTTGGGGCTTGCTGCACCCGGCCCCTGGCGACAGATTGTCCCAAAAGACAGTCTTAAAAATTTGTGTTATATACATAATCGGGGTCTGGTAATGAATATATATATTTTTGACACTGGTGCTGTTTTTGAAAAACTTGGAACTCAAACTGACTCAAAATATATTTTGTACCAAGGGTATAGTACTCTTTGGAATAATTCCTACCATTTTTGCATTGCTGGGGTCGTTCAGCGAGAATGGACCTTGGTCCTGTAGTCCACGCATGAGCTCCTACCACATGCGAGAAACGGTTATGAAGAAGCGCGGCTAGCCCTGAACGACCTCTCTTGTTAGGATGACGTCACACTCTTAGCATATTCCATTCCAATTCTAGAAAGGAAACTTTGCGCACCCGTCGTGGAATTAATTCAACGGCTAATTTGTGTGAGTTTTTACCTCTAAATGCCTTATGGGTATCATTATCTTAGTACCTATGTTTGTGCTGCAGCACAGATGCATTGCGTTTGTGCATGAGACGGTGCGCGTAAAATCGGCCCATCAGTATTTTTGTCTTGATTTTAGCTTTCTGCTCGGTACATCTTACTTACGCCGCAAACTCCGCCCACATCCGGGTGTGCCACGCCCAGCGTTCACATTCAACCTCTACTCCTACTTTCACCTCTGGCGTATTTTTTTTCAGGTCTCTAAGTCATCTCGGAGCCGAATTATGAGGTCTTGTAAATGGCGTTATGAGTCACGAATTTCTGAGGCAGACCCCGCCCACTTTGGTGCATGGTTAGCCCAACAATGGCATTCAACCCTACTCCATACCTCAATACTTATGCACATTTTCCCCGGTCGCCGGAACTTCTAGGAACCGAGTTATGAGAGCGGTGGCAAACTCCGCCCACATCCGGGTGTGCCACGCCCAGCGTTCACATTCAACCTCTACTCCTACTTTCACCTCTGGCGTATTTTTTTCAGGTCTCTAAGTCATCTCGGAGCCGAATTATGAGGTCTTGTAGGGGACGAAATCGAGCTACGTATCTTTGTGGCAAACCCCGCCCACTTTGGTGCGTGGGTCGCCCACTGATATCAGTCGGCTATCATCTCTTCCCCAACCTTTTTCTACTTTTCTCCCATCTCTGGAACTTATTGGAACCGAGTTATGAAGTACCGTGGCAAACCCCGCCCACTTTGGTGCATGCTCCGCCCGCCAACAACGGTTGACCCCTTTCCCTCTGCCAACCCTCATACGCTTTTTTCCCGGACTCCGGGACTCCTAGGAACCGAGTTATAAGCCTAATTGCAAACTCCGCCCACTTTGATGTAAGCCACGCCCATCCCTGACATTTAGCTTCCCCTCCCCTCCTGACCTCTATCCGTTGTTTTCCGGTCTCTAAGTCATCTCGGAGCCGATTTATGAGCTCTTGTAGAAAATGCTGTCCGCTTCACGACACGCTCCGCCCATTGTGGGCGGGCCTCCGTTCACATCATGCGTGGTGGAAATACCTTAGGCATTGCTCCCCTGCACTAATTTCGTTTCTGGTCTGTAGGCTTCCTCTTAACCGAGTTATGAATATTTTCACTGAGCACCCATTTTCTAGAGAACGCCCCGCCCACCGAGGGTGGGTCTCCTCAGTTCAATCTGGCTTACCAACCCACACCTATGCCCACTTTTGTCCCGGTCTCGAGGCTGTTTTGTGACTGAATTTGAAATCATGGTCCTCAGTACCACTCATTTCGACGCACGCCACGCCCACTGTGGGCGGGGCTCCGCTTAGGTAATGTATGTTTTTTACTTCTCGAGATATGGTACACCCATCCCAAACATGACCTGGACCCAGTAGGTTGTTGTCCGCTTAATACGGAATTTCGTGACAGACAGACAGACAGACACAGACAGACTTAGCGCATTATATATAGTAGGGATTATATTAGCGATTATATGGCATCTTGGTCAACTTATCTTGCAAGTTATTGCTTTGCTTTCGTTATTATAACGCCTCGATATAGTTGCATTGAAAAGAATGGAGACTCATGGAATATGAAGCAGTGGGCGGCCTATCATTGCTGTAGTTTCATATTTTGCCCTACACTAGCACCAGCATTTTGACAGTCGCTTGCCACGACATGACTGGAACGCATACTGATTATAGAGAGAGATCAAGTATTCCACAATCAATCCTCTAGCTGAGTGAGAAGCAGTCGTTTTTTCATGCGATCACATTGCGCTAAAGGCGCAGGACGTCGTTTCACCTCTACGACACGCTGGCAATTTAACTCGTTTGCAGCACATACAAGTATCCAACGCCTCATGCACACGTACTCTTCCACATATTCCTCTAATCGCCGCGCTTTTCTCCGTCTTGCACGTAGACTTTACAAAAAGGAGTTTTGATTACAAGTGCTTTTTGTGGTTCATTTTTCTTTTTTTCAACGACTCGCACTCTCTTTTCTTTTTTGCGGATGACATACACTTCGTCGTACAGAATTAAGTGCAGCTGTAAGAACGGGATTGTGTTCTTTTCTGTAAAATAGTTTCTATAGTTAATTGACTGTGAGGGATCACATCCTGTTATTTTGATTTGCGCTTGGCAAGGTGCGTTGCAATATTCAAAGCTTCTCGTACAAAGAACGAATTTTTTTATTCGTTTTATGGGTTCCGAATACATGTCAAAGGCAAAATCACAGTCTTCTTCTTCTCCCTAGCGTTAGTCCCGCGCAGTCGCAGGGTCCGCTGTCTTTGTCAGTCGTCGCCACTTTGCTCTGTCCAGGGCATCTTCTGCTGTGGCCGTGACTTCACTTAGGTCCTTCTTGATTGCGTCCCTCCACCTTTTCTTTGGAGCTCCTCGCGGTCGCTTGCAACAACCCTATTGAAGTTTAGGTCCGGCTCTGATTTGTCTGGTTCTCATTTTATGTCATTCCAGATACGACAATCAAGGAATCACCACCAGTAGAAGAATCTCCAAAGCCTAAAGTGGAACCACCAACGTCGGAAAATACTCCACCTGCACCTGTCGACAATACTCCCAAGACCTGGGCACATCGTGTGGGAGGGGGTTCGAAGCCCGCTGCCACACCTACAGTGGGCAGTGCTCCGCAGAAATCGTCTCCTGTTCCTGCTGGTGGAAATGCTGCTGCAACGCAGCGTACTCAACAGAGCGCTCGTCCCCAGGTACAGTCTAATGGTAAGTTTTGTTCATAATTGTTTATTCGATTTTATTCATTTTTCTCCATACCTGGTAGCGTATGCACTTTCACTATAGGGCATTTATTGCAACAGTTACCAAATTCACTTTTTAAGGCGGTCCTGTTGCACAAGGAGAACGTCGTATCTATCTCGGAGGCATAATAAGAAACATGGTTCCTGATAATACTAATATTGCAGAGCAAGAGATCAAGGATGCCTTCTCAAGTTAGTGACCTACGAGCTCTCCGTCATAAATTCTATCTGTTTTTTTTTCTGTATGTGATAGTTCCCTTTTTGTCCTCGATCTGAAGTGGTCGATTTCCTTTTCAGAGTACGGTGAGGTAGAATCGGTTGCTATACCACGCAAAGTCCTCGATCAGCCAAACGACACATCTCGAAACGGATTTGCTTTCATCTCTATGAGAACGCCTGCTGACGCACAAAATGTATTCCAAAAAGCGCGAAAAGATGTTAGTTCCTTATTTGCACGATATTGTTGTGATTATTCTGAGATGCTTGTTTCAGGATCGTGGCATTTACCATCTACAACTGTGCCTTGATGCATTCGGATTTGACGGTGAAGTGACGATTTCTGAGCAGAAAGATCGCATTGACCGTCCAGGAGGAGGATTCCGCGGAGGTCGTGGCGGTTTCATTCCTCGTGGCGGAGCTGGTTCATTCACACGTGGAGGCGGCAGAGGTCGCGGAGGTTTTCGTGGTGGTTTCATCAACCAGAACGCTCACCACTGAATATTTTGATCCTTCTGTGATGTTACAGCGCCTCACATCTTAGGGTGTATACCCAAACGACCACACAAATTTCTATTCCATGGTTGAACACCTTTTCCCTTGTTGTGCATCCCTGTTACCCCTTTGCACCTGGTACTTCCACTTTCTAAATACTGTTTATAGATCTATTGAAAGTGAAATCTCTCTTCTTGGTCAAGGCTCACTATTTGTAACTTGTGATTTTTCGTTATTCCGGTTCGTCTATAGCACGTATTTCAGATTGGTGTATATTATGTTCATATAGAGTTTTTCGATTTGAAGGGCTCTTCTCCATTAAATAGTTTGCTATTTTTATAGGGTAAAATGGGGGTATAGCGAGGGTGCACCATGTTTAGGTTTTACTGCAGCCGGGGCTAGCCATGTTATTATATCGCTGTCTCGTAGATCTCCGAGTGCCGATTTTCCCTCTTCATCACTCTCCTCTTTCTCCCTTCTCAGTTTCCTCTCCCTCTCACCCTCCTCAGTCGGTACTAGCTCAGCTTGAGGTCCACGCCTGCCGCGTTGCCGGTGCCCCTCACCGTTTATCCTTGTTTTCTCATTGTTCACCATTCTGGCAGCTATTGTTGAGGCGTTTGCGTGCGCTCATAGCAATGTCATAAGCGCATTCTTTCTGTATTATTGACATTGTGACCTGTCGAATTTAGCGCATTTTTGCCCTTTTAGGATTGAGAATGGGTTAAATTCTGGCTTTTTGTCATTTTGTTAATTTTACACACTAAATTTATTGTTGTCTGCGACGAGTAAATATTGTTTTTGTGTAGTTGAGCTATGTCCAATAAGAGTTTGGTTGCCACGAGCTATCTCATATATATGTCATGCTCCCCAATAAAACTTCGGTTTACTATATTGGTTAACAATCTAGCGGGCATTTGAAGAGTACATTGCTTTTTAAGCGGAATGGAAGATGAGGATTTCAATGTGATAGCGCGATTTGACGATGCTGACCTTTCGTATCCGTGAGTTTATTTGGTTTAGCATGAAAAACTAATATTGCGACTAGAACCAGTGTTGAAGATGGAATGGGTATTAATTGTTTTTACCGATTCTTTGCTTGCATTCGGTGGAGGATATGGGCATTGCTGCGAAAATTTGAGTGGTCTTGACTTCTTTTCATTGCAGTTGCTAGCGTGATGTTAGATGTAATATTGTGTAAATAAGACAACATGTGCAGGTTTTTACTACGAGTTCTTCAACCTGATACAATAGTGCGATATTTGCTTGAGTTCTAACCTTTTTCACCAATCATACGAGGTGGGGGGGGGGGAAGTTGCTAGGGTTTTATAGGGTGTGTGGGAAGTAGAAGTAACGGTCACTTTCAGGCACTTCATCTCTGAACCGCAGAGAACGCATGCATAGTCGGTCGTCTGATCGTAACGGTCGCACAGCATTGGATGCGTATCGATCGTCAGACTTGCCTGAGTGTTCGACGATCGATACGTATCTAACGCTATGCGACCGTTACGATCGGACGACCGACTATGAATGCGCCTCGAAGCTCTTAATGGGCCCCACATCGCTTGAATTGGATGCTGTAGCTCAAATTTTATTCAAAGTGCAATGTTCCTATTCTCGTGACGCATTATCTCTTGCTCTCAAGTACTGCGAATAATAGCGGTTTCTTCAGAGACCATGAGAACATCGAGCCATCAGCATCAGATGTGACAGTTGTGAATGCGTTGAACGAAACTGGGCAAAGAAAGCGTCGCTTCATCGACAACGATCCATTTTCCTCGCCTCCAGATGATCAGTTTATCCATCCAATGGGTAAATACATTATAGTCGTCTGAACGCTTCATATTGGTTGCCTCTGTAATAGTTAAGATCAAACTCTTCACCATGAAATAAGAGGTTGATTTCTTACATTGGACTCATTTTAGTTTTACCTCTTTTATTTGAAGATTGGCACATGAAAATGCCGCTTACATTGGAGGAGCACGAGAATGCGCGAGTGAAGACTGATGATGAGTTGGCTGCAACTCGGTTATTTCAACGTATATGTCAGGCTAGGGCGAAAAGAATGCGAGCAGTGAGGGAGCAACTGAAGGAGCATGAGAATTCTCATTCAGATGATGAGTTCGAAAAAGAGAAACAGGTAGGATTTTGGGTATCGGAAAAGCTATGTTTAACGTCGTTCACCTACTGTTTAAGAGTGCTCTTTTTTACAAACGAAATTACTTAGTTTATCGGGTCGTGGTCGCTCGTTAATTTTGATTTCGTTTTTATCGGGATAAATACTGTGTCGCAATAAAAAAAAACAGTTTAGATCATGGAATCACCTCCAATCGATGGGTCATCGTGGATTGGTGTTAATAGCGATGATAGGCATGAGAGGTAGTAACTTTTTCCCGAATATGGGGTCTTTCGAAGATGCGAATGGAATCTGCCATGCTTTATATTCTGAAGGAATTCTGTACAGGTTCTATATTCGTTATCTGCGACAGCCACGTGTACCGCGAGCTGCCAACGTTGGCTCGAATGAAGTCCGCGCTGAAATTCTCAATCAGCAATGGCAGAGAATAAAGGCAGAAATTGAGGCAGTCAGGTAATATTAGGATTTCGATTACATGCAGTTTCTCTTGCATTCTAAAGTTATGTCGTTTTGACAAAAATTTCTACTTTCGGCTGCGGCGCTCTTGGGAAATCTTACAGAGGGAGGAAATCTTGAGCAGGGTGTTAGCAGTTGCTTTTTTAACTAGCTTTTTCCCCTCTTATGGGTGTAGTGCTGGTGTCATCTACCATCGGCCCTAATTTGATAGCCCCTCCCCTCACCTCCAGGTCATGAGCCTCAGCATCTACTCCATCCGAGATTTTTTCTAGTAAGTTGTGAAGCTCACTATATCGGAAAAAGACCTTATTTCCATTGCACGATCGTGACATACATAATCTCATTTCGCTTTTTGCTTTGAAGGATCCACCATTTTCTTTGGTTCTTTATTTCTGAAGGGCGTTTCAGAGAAAATAAATCTCGAATGATGGCGAATCGGCGGGAGCGAGAAAATATTGAGGAGGTCCACGCGAATATTATGACAAACGAAGCTAGTATTTGGGTGAATAAATATTCCCCTCGAAGTTATGTGGATTTACTTAGTGACGACGTGAGTTTTTCTTCGTTATCCCTCCACGCTTCGCTTTCATTTGATTTATGTCGTATTCGCATGTTTCAGGGTGTTAATCGTCATTTAATGTCCTGGATTAAGCTATGGGACGAATGTGTTTTCAAGCGGAAGATTGTTCATCTCCCCAAAAACGTTTCTTCGAAAGAGAAAGACTTACTCATATTGGACTCAGGGAAACCTCGTAGGCCAATGCAGAAGGTTTGCGATGTGAAATTTCCGTTTTTCGTTGGTGTTTCCCAATATCATTGGATAAGTGAAAATTTTGGCGCCATCGCAATTTGAGGGGGTATAATCTAGGACTCCTTCCCCGCCCATGGCTAAGTCCCCTTTTTCAACAGAAAGGAACACGTTTTCCGCGATTCTAAATGCACTACCACCACAATGCCCCGTATCTTGCGATAGCCCCAAAATTTTCAGTCGTGGCGAAGCAAATTTAAGAGAAGCTGGAGCCCCTGAAAGATCCCACTACAGTGTGTCTCTCGCGTGTTTTACCTTCTGTGGTCTCACTGTCTCTCATTCGTACCACATCCAACCTGACTGCAAGCTAAAGCCATTAGTTTCAGCGTTTTAGATAATTTCTCTTGTTTTCTTTACCACTCTCAATTTAATCCTCACTCAGCTCTTCCCTCAATAGATGCGCTCTTCTTCACCAGTTTTAGCCTGTGGCTTGCCTTAACACATTCACGACGACGCCCCTTTTCCACTTTTCGGTCGCGTGGGACGGACGCGATTTTGTGGGCGCCGCCGCCTCACCACATAACCGCAGATTTTGTTTTGTAAATGAACAAAAACATGAATGTCACAAAATAATTTCTGCAATGTCCAATGCGTAAAGATTATCTAAACATATAACAGTAGGATTTCGATCAGACCGACAAACAGTGGTT